GCTCAATGAAGCGATCCGAGTACTCATGTGAGTCACGCTGATGCCAGACTACGCGCATTACCTTTCCCAGCCCTATGGTGCGCGGCATGTATGCAGTAATTCCCGGCTTTTGGCGGGGTTGCCGGATCGGTCGATCACTACTGGAGACACCACCGAACCCGCAAAAGCTGTGCTGACAAAACATCCGGACGAGATCCTTTCGGCACGAAAACCCGAGACCAAACGCCCTCATCACGGCCAAACATGCGGTAAGCCGAGAATTGCAGATTGGTTGACCGCGAAGAACGTGTCTAGTTCGCTAGTCATTCGAGAAGCTTCTCACACGAGCGCTCGATTCCCACCACTTGCTCCGGACCGGCCATCACTGAGATGAGTGCGCGCAGGTAACGCACAGCGAATCGTGAGAGTGCCGCACCCGATAGATGTCTTGGTTACAGCAAACACAAAACGGTGGCCCGATTCACCATGAGTAAAGGGGCATATCCAGGCTTGATGCCGAGGTATCAGGCGGCTTTGGGCTCAGCAAACTGGGGAAATGAGCCCTGCATTGCTCGGCCCTCCTGCAGGGTCAAGGCGCCAGGCGCAAAGCCTCAAGCGCAGAGGGAAGAAGACGGCGTAGAGGATAAAAAGCCATGTTTCGATCATAGCAACAGACGAGACCCGAGGGTGGGAAACAAAAGAAAACATGCGTCGCGTGCGCAAAGCCACCTGACTCGGCGGGGTTAGCATACTCGCCGCTCTTGGTATGTGGCATGGTAAGATTCCAGCATCAGCCACACTTAATCAGAGCACATATTGCTTGGGCACAGTCCTCAGCAAGCGACCAGGCCTAACGTTGTGACTGAGAACCTATAGCGTTGCTCAACTCGATTCCTATATATCAAGGTCCTTCACTCAATCATCTCTCTCCGCGACAGTGGTACAGGCTGATGAAGCCACGGCGCTTGCGTCACGTGCTGCCCCGTATCTGCCATGGACCGCAGATCCAACCCTATTCACATCTACTGAGTGGCGACGGCCTTGGTGCGGTAGAAGGGCTCGAGCTCATACTCGTCGAGAGCAAGAGAATGCAGAGCCACGTACTGGACGTACTCCGGGTTGAAATTTTGCAGACAGTACTTGGCGATCATCTCGGTTCCTGGCACGAAGTACTATTCAGCATGCTGGCCGCCACATTCGCCACAACACCGGTGATGACTTACCAACGGCCGCACCGCCCGCCGTCCAGAGCTCACCCTTGCCATTCGGCCCCTCGTACGCCTTGTCCGTGATGACCCACTTCTGGTCAAGCCACTCGACGTCGGGGTGCGCCTGCTTTGCAGCGCCCAAGAGGCTGCGGTTGGTCGTGGCCTTTTTGCCATCCAGCAGGCCGGTGCTGGCGAGCCACATGGAGCCGATGCAGGTGGTTAGCCAGACGCGGGTCGTGAGCCAGGCCTCCTTCATGAAGCGGTCTGCTGGGGGAGGTCGGTGGCTCGGTAGGGGTCCGCCGATGATGATGATGTCCAGGTCGCGAGGGCACGTGTCGTAGGTGACGTTGGGGAGATACATGAGGCTGGGGCTCGTGCCCGTGGGTTCGAGGGTGCTGCCGATGTAGTAGAAGGTCATGTCGACGGCGTCCTGTTCAAACTTGGCGAACTCATTGTCAATGGCGAGTCCTCCTTCGTAATGGGTTCTCGAGAGGTTGCCGAGGATGTCGATGCCGGTGATGTCTGCCAGCTGGACGGCTTCCATCATGACTCCGATGCGGAGCGACTTTTTAGGGATCGTGGTGGTGACCATTTTCAGGGATTCAGCTAAAGTTTGAGGTGTGATTGATGGACAGGCTGCTCAGGGTCGTGATGCTGTGCAGGACAGTTAACCGATTAAGTTTGAATTTGCTCTATTTAACCTTCTGTTGCAGATGCTACGCTGGGGATTTTGTACCCCTTCAACCACCACGCAATATTGACGCAGAATCTCACGGCTTCAAGCCAAGCCCCGTGCTTGAGGAACGAAGTCGAGGAAAGGCGCTAGGTCGCGAGTAAATGCCGAAGAGCATCGGATGTTAGCTTAGAAGTAGCCAATGGGGATAAAGGGCCGTCGAGGTGTGGACCTGAAACCAAAAGCTGGGTAAGGTGAGATCCTATCTCAAGCGTAAAAGTTCCTTCCCCGAGCCGCAAGTAAAAGGCTTGGCACGGTGCTCGCTTATCGGTTCCTGAGGCGCTCTGTAGCTTGATGTAGAGCTCGGTGTCAGGGTTGATCTCGCTGATCGCCGTCATTCCTCCTTGGGGGAGGGTACGGATTGGGCTAGAACCTCGGTGCTTGGAGCCTTCCATCCATGCTACAGCCTCCAGCGTCGATAGACGCATGCATGTGAATATCTCGTGGTCGTATGAAAACCGGTGTATGTAATCCGTTGATGCATGATATTATACGAATCATCATTCAAACGTAATGGATGAAGACAAATTCCGTATCTCAAAGGCCAGAGCACTATCCATTCGCATAAGCAGCTGTTTTCGTGCTTATCATACCTCCGCTGTATAGCGCTGATAAATCGTCAAACCATCTCTCCGTGGCAGATGACAATTATTGGAACCCCCGGGCAGGCTCGGACTTCCCCAAGGCATGGGCTGAGTTTACAACGATTCGGGGGGCGGGAACCCAGTATTGTGGGGTCAAAGGTCTTGGCGGGTTATATGGCTTGAGCTGGTTAGCCATCGTCAACTGTCACAAACAAACATAGTATCAGTATCGTATGTAAAGCTGTCCGCGAGGGTAGAAGGTTCGTACTGCGTCGCAACAAGTCTAACTGCGGGTCGGCGCCAAAAAGCTTCCGTCTCGCAGACTGAATCAACTCTAATTGCTCACCATTAGCAATCGTCTGGCGTTGTAGATCTCATGATTGCAGGCAGCTGCCCACCTGGCTGGTCAGCGCAAGAACGAAGCCACAAGCGATTGGTCCGTGGATGCCTGAAGCATGACCGGGGCCTGAACGAAGTGCGGTGGTGTCAGTCGAGAGACGAGCTGGACTCGTACAAGAAGCCTTGTCACTCGCCGTCGAGCACCTAATGTCATCTCATCTCAGATCAGTGACCAAGTATAGAATCATCCATCTCGCTCACATACACGATTGATACCACAGTCATACATTGCTTGTCAATATCATTATTTGGCAATGTCTCAGCAGATCAAGAACGTTGTCATTGCCGGTGTGAGTCCTAGCCTCGCATGGTCGGCCAGACTGTCCGAATCTGACTTGTTTTCGTTTAGGCTACTGGCAGCGCCGGCTCTCACGTTCTGCAGGCCCTTGTCGTGTCTGGCAAGTTCAATGTGACCGCGGCGGTCCGCAAGGCCAACGACAAGCTGCCATCCACCGTCAACGTCAAGGTCATCGACTTTGACTCTGTCGATGCCCTCGTCGAGATTTTCAAGGGCCAGGACGCCGTCATCGATATGACCATGAGCCCAGACTCGGCCATGCCCCTGCGCATGGTCGAGGCAGCCGTCGCCGCCGGCGTCTCCCGCTTCATCCCCTCTGAGTTCTCCATTGACCCCAGGAACTCCAAGGGCCGGTCTGTACCCGTTTACGCGCCCAAGAACGAGGTCCTCGCTAAGCTCGAGGAGCTCGCGGCCGCCGGCAAGCTCACGTGGACGAGCATCTCCAACGGCGCCTTCCTCGACTGGAACCTGCGCACGGGATTCTTCAAGATTCACCTCAAGGCCAAGAAGGCCGAGCTACTCAACGGTGGCGAGGTTGTCACGGCGTGGACGCTGCTTGAACACGTCGGCCAGGCGGCGGTCGGTGTGCTCCTTCACCCTGAGGAGACTAAGAACCGCCCAGTGTACATCTCTACGATCCAGATGAGCCAGAAGAAAATGGTTGAGCTCGCCCAGCAGGCCCTTGGACGGGACGGTTGGGACATCAGCTCTCTGGACATGGAGCCCGTGTACCAGCAGTCGCTAGGTGAGCTCTTCGCAGGCAGGGTCACATTCGAGGTTATTGGCAACCTGATTCTGTACTGCAACTCAAGGGAGGACTACTCCGGACCGTTCGTCAAGACCGACAATGCTCTCTTTGGAATTGAGCAGTGGAGTGACGAGCAGGTGAAGCAGCTGATTGTATCGATCGCATCCGAGTAGAGGGTTTGAGGAGCTCGCTGCTGCTGAAGCTGTACAAAGATATTTCAGTGATGAAGAAAGATAGATGGTTTATCTTGTTGGTCGTGTCGTGAATCAGGTGGTCACTCTAGCACTCTGGCTCTCCAGACTCCACCTACCTGGGTACCTACCTGGTAAGGTAGGTAGGTGCCTTGGATACCTAGGTACCTAGGTTAGATATTTTGGGTAGAAGGAGCTCTCTTGAGGCTGTGTAGGCCGACATTGTCGTGTTCCGTGGCTGAGGCGTGCTTTCGGGTCAGCAGCCACATGATTTTAGGCTTAAAGCGGCGAGGCCTTCGGGTCACACCCACTTTGAGCACGATACAGGGGGCTCACTGTCGTGAATAATTGTGGAACCAAGTGGTTGAGCCGATCTGGCGTCTGGCAATTGGTCTGGCGCATCAAAAAGGGAAGGGAAAACGAGAAAGGGATACGATGTACAGAAACAGAAACTGAGCCGACGCCAGATACGGCAGCAGCGAAAATGAGGAGCGCTGCGTTATCAGGGATCTCCATGCGGGCAGCCACGGGCAAAAGGCAAGGAACCACGATGCGGCGAGATGCAAAGAAGCAGCGCCAAGGTCGTGCCGAAACGTGCGACACGACCTGTTTCAAGTCTGACCCCCCCGGCCAGCGCCTCCTTTTCCCTTCGGCCCCGCCGCCGCCAAAGCCCTCGGTAGCCAATGAGGCCCACCCCCCCCCTTGTAATATGTAGACAATGTCTTCCAATGACACGAGCGATCTGAGTGTGACATGCCTATTACGAGCCTATCGTGGCGCCTCAAGTAGATCGAGAGGATGAAGTCAGGGAGAGACTCCACCGCGAGCTGCCTGAAGCTGCTGCTGACATTGCTGACCGGGCAAGCGAGTGGACCCGCTGGAGCGGTGAACTTGTTTATATGCAGGCGCGTAAATACGGTATCAGGCGAAGACGGCGAGATGACCACGAGAGGAGCTCGCCGGCTCGACTGATGGAAGACAGGCACCAGGGGCCGCGTAACGACGGCGGGGCGGTACACGTCTCTGCGAGGGGCCACACTCGTTCGGTCGCTAGGCGTCTTGCCGCCGTTCATTGTTGATTTCAGGTTGATAGAGTTCAAGAGACAAACAGGTTGACTGATCTACCAGGCAATCTAAGGCCCATGCTGAGACAGGCTATCGGCGGTGAGTTGGCCCGCCGCCTGCCCCTTCGATACCCCATCAGCCGGAACGCCTGAGCTGGTGCCACGCGCTACGTCAATTTGGTGAGCAAACGGCCATAGGTTCACAGGATCATGCCTGTCCTGCGAGAGCGGGAAGTGGTTACGAGTGGAGGCATGGGATGCAATGGCAACATGGGCGACGAAAAGGGGCCAATGTCAACAACAAGAAAACGTTAGCACGACGATACATTGGGGATACATTGGGAGCAAGCTCTTCGTCTTGAGAGGAGCTATAGACTTGAACAGCCCATACGTCGCTTTCCTTTCCCCTTCCCAGACCCCCTCCATCCATGATGCTTCGCTATTCTACCATTCTCCTAGGTCGGATTACATATCGGCAGCATGTCGGACATGTCAAAAGTGTAAGCTGCCGATCGTGACCCAGTGATGCAGTGATCAAGCTTGCCGATCATGCCGAGGGTCGAACAGTGTGGTGGATTCCTTGTACAGCAAGAGGGCAGGGGGGAAATATTACACAGAGGCTCAGGCGAAAACGCACACATCGGACAAGACGCGGGATGCGGGATGTAGGATGCGGGATGCAGGTGGCACGCTCGCACCCCCTTGCGCTCGTTTCGAGGTTTCATGCTTCCACGCCAGCAGCCGCCGGTGCTGGCGTTGGCGACGGGGGAGGGGGAGAAGGGGTAACTCAATCGCCTGTCATTTGTCGTCAATCCGTCCGGCTTGGTCCTCAAAGCCCTTTACTGGCTCAGTCGGTGCTCAGTGCTGTTGCTCACTATTGCGTCGCCTCGCCACCCCACCCCCCCTGACTTTCCACCCACTGAGCTTCTGACCTCGCTTCCATGATGCCAAGACCCACCGTTGAAGCGTGCGGAGGGTCCTGCCTGACCTCGACCTGTCTTGTCATGTCTTGTCCTGTGTGTGGGTGGGCGCACTTGCCTGCAAGCCTGAGCCTCTCTTTCTTTAGGCTCCCCCCCCCGGTAGCCATTTCCTCCACGCCGCCGCCGCCGCCTGCCCCCCCCCCCCAGCTCCTGTCCCTGTCTCTTTCCTTCCTTTGACTTGAACCTCAACTTTCGACGTCGGCCCATCCTCGATCTCCTCTGTCCACCATCGACAACACCAGCACCCGTGCCTTCCTGGCTGCTGCTGTGTCGCTGCGGATCACGAGTTCTTCGCGATTGTGCTCTCACGGCCCACCCTTTCTCTCCTCCCCCTTCTTCGCCCGTTCCCCACGTTCTCCAACCGTCCACTCAACGACTCCGCGTTTGCTTGAACACTACCTCTGTGTGACGCGCTCCAGGCGAGACAATCCAGAGACATTCTCCCACGGCACCGGCATTCCACCCAAACTCCCACTATTTGCGACTCATTCGCGAGGTCATCCTTTTGACTCAATCATCGCAAACACACTTTGCCGTGTTGTCATCGCCAAACCGTCAATATGGCCATGCTGGCTCCAAAATCGTCGTTCCCCGCGGGCTTGGGCTCCAACAGCTCCAACATGGTCGCCAGTAACATGTCTCCCGCCTCCGTCGGCCCCTCCAGGAGAGCGCCCACTCTGCCCAATTCGACTGCCTCTTTCGCCAGCCCGACCGAGTCCGAGTTCTCGGAAAGCGAAGGTCCCGACGCCGTCAAGAATTGGGACGAGGAGCGTGTCGCCGAGTACCTCAGGAGTGTCAAGTGTGGCGAGTACGAGAAGCTTTTCAGGAAAAACCACATCAACGGCGAGAATCTACTTGAGCTCGACAAGAATGTCCTCAAGGAAATGGGTATCGACAAGGTCGGCGACCGCGTACGCCTGTTCCTTGGCATTAAGAAGCTGAGAACCAAGGCCTACGCAAACCAAAAGAAGAGGAATAGGGTACGCCGTTTGCGCCGCGCCGCCTGGCCTTTGCTGCAATTTTTTTTAATTGCTTTGTGCTCTTTTGACTAACAAAGCGCAGGACTCCTTCGGTCTCCTCGACTCCCAGTACATGGCCTCTGCCAACTCGCCTCGGCCCTCTGGCCCTTCGACGTCGTCCTCCGCCGGCCGTGGCATGCCCACTCCTCCGATGAATAAGCGCTACTCGCGCCAGATCGACATGCCCCTACCTCTCGATACCTCGAAGTCCTCCTCGCGCCCCAGTTCTCCTCTGCCAGGCTCCGATGCGCGCCAGGCTCGTCAGCGCTACGGCCAGAGCCCCGGCTACATGAGCAACGCTGGCCCCAATGCTTCTTCAAGATCGCCGCACGAGCTGCCCCAGGCTAATCGATTGGTAACATCTCACCATACCAGGAATCAGTCCAGTATGGATGGCTCACTGATGGCTGGTTTACCGCAGAATCAGGAAGTTATTCGTGTCATCTCCACCGGAGGCGTGACCAAGGTTGTCAAGATTGCCGACTGCAACACGTGCGAAGAAGTCATGCGCGTCACACTACGCAAGTTTGCTCTGCGCGAGGACCACGAGAGGAATTATTGCTTTTGGGTCCTTGCTGGCGTTGATCCCGACCCTAGCCAGTGCCGTCGCCTCGGCGACACCGAACTGTGGCGCATCATCAAGGACCAGAAGCGTCCCGAACGAAACCGCCTCATCCTACGCCGTGTGCCCGCTGGCGAGCCTGGCATGTCAGAGCTGGAGCGGGCTGCCGGCATCGCCGTCGAGGAGGCACAGCAGAACCATGTCCGTGCCCTCGAGTCGGTCGATAAGAGGAGTCAGCTCAAGGTGCAGAACCTTCTGGGCGAACGCTGGAACGACGAACTCCAGCATCCTCTCTCGCCCGTTTCCTTCCAGGACCGCGAGCGTAATGTCCACAACGCCAAAGGACCTCGGAGCGCCCCGCATCCAACGGCCTCGTCCCGGCCGCGTGGAAGGAAGGCTGCCCTCCCGCCAATTTGGTGGCCTTGAGGCCTTCCGAGCGAGCTCATTACGTCCGATCTCACGTCCTACTTCCCTGACCACGCCAGGGGAGGGACAATTGACAGGGACGGGCTCGTCTTTCCATGAGACGGGTCAACTCGCATGAGCAAAAGTCAAATAGCCGTTTTGAGTGTTGCGAGCAACCTGAGCTTTGCCTCGAGTATTGCCGACGCTCCGCCCATTCCCACAATCGCCGACACATGGTTGACCGCCTCGGCTCAGGCGGCGAAACCCCTGAACCAGGCAGCCCGCCAAGCAGCCCGCAACACCCATGCATACCGCGACTCGGTCACGTCGTCGGTGCTTGACACCCTCCAGGAGGAGTCACCCATCGAGCCCAACCGCAAGTCTTACGTTTCCTTCGCCGACAGCAATTCGGATACTGCGGCGGTGAGCGTCACTGATCCCGACGGCAACATCACAAGGAAGAGCTTCTTCGATGGCGAGTCCACAATCTCCACGGGCTCCGGGTCTGTGGAGCAGCTCACTCAGGCCCTAAACGAGGATGGCGAGGACGAAGACGAGGAGCTCCAGAGCTTCCTTGCCGGCGAGTCCTGGTCTGATGACAAGTGGATGAAGGGTGCTCTCATCGGCCAGGGTTCCTTTGGCTCCGTCTATCTTGCTCTGCACGCCGTCACCGGCGAGCTACTTGCTGTGAAGCAGGTCGAGGCGCCCGCTCCCGGTGCCAACAGCCAGAGCGATGGCCGCAAGAAGAGCATGATCGAAGCTCTCAAGCGCGAGATCAGTCTGCTCCGTGACCTCCGACACCCCAACATTGTGCAATACCTAGGCTGCAGCTCGTCGTCCGAGTTCCTCAACATTTTCCTTGAGTACGTCCCGGGTGGCTCCGTGCAGACCATGCTTAACTCGTATGGTGCTCTGCCCGAGCCACTTGTGCGTAGCTTTGTCCGACAGATTCTCACTGGTCTCTCGTACCTGCATAACCGCGACATTATTCACCGAGACATCAAGGGTGCCAACATCCTCGTCGACAACAAGGGAACCATCAAGATTTCTGATTTCGGTATCTCCAAGAAGCTCGAGGCATCCAACATTCTCAGCGGCGCGAACAACAACAAGCATCGTCCCTCGCTTCAGGGTTCTGTCTTCTGGATGGCGCCCGAGGTTGTCAAGCAGACGTCTTATACTCGCAAGGCGGATATTTGGTCTCTCGGCTGCCTTGTCGTCGAGATGATGACGGGCTCCCATCCCTTCCCCGACTGTACCCAGATGCAGGCTATCTTCAAGATTGGCGGCGCCATGGCTGCGCCTACCATCCCGGAGCACGCCAGCCCCGAGGCACAGAAGTTCCTCGCCCAGACCTTTGAGATTGATTACAACCTTCGCCCAAGCGCCGACGAGCTCATGCTCAGCCCCTTCCTGGCGCCCATCACTTGAATTGCCTCTGAGGCGCGAGTTCCTCTGGCAGGGGCTTTATGACATGGCTCTGTGGATGATATGCCACGCCGTTTCGCTCTTTTTTTTCTCTTCACTCCTTTAATCGAGTTTCAGTGTACAGGAAGCACGGCGAGGCTCATTGTGGAGCAGGATGCTAATTGGCTTCATTGTGCCAGGCGAATATATGGATGGATGATGGATGATCTAGGGGACGTTTTGCCTTGAAGGGCCGGGAATATAGAAGGCGGGTCGAGAAAGCTGTGTACACTATCTATATATCCCGATGATGACGATGACATGGCAATGGAAGCTGAGATTTCAAGTTACACATACAGCTCACTCACGTCATTGCGCTGTTGTGCTTCGCTGTTGCAGTATCATGATGAAAACACAGTGAGTCGCGAGTGCAGACAGGGACAATGGTGGGGGGTATATCAACAAACAGGTCAAGCTACCCATCCGACTACTCGGCAAGGAGAATGGGGAAAAAAGCCAACATACAATCGCACCGCACCGAGTGCCCAGTCGCAGCCGCAGATTCCAACGTCATCATGCCGGCCACCAGAGGACGTGTGAGAGAGGGCAGGAACTCAAGGCCGCCCGTCCAGGCAGACATGCGAACGTGAAATCCCGTCTCTCTGAGCCCGTTTTGAAATAAAAGAGGAAAAACTCTGCCCCGTCCGAAATGTGTTCGCCCTCTCACCTTCCCCGTCCGTCCGTCCGTCCGTCCGTCCATCAACTTCGTAAGTGGAACCGTGCTAACGGCAACAAAAAAAGAGCAAGTGAAACAAAAGATACAGTCTTCCCCTTCTTCCGAACAGCATCCTCGGACCCATTCCATGCTTTTGGGTTGCGTCGCTGCGCTTGTACGTCCCGGGCGTCGACGCTGTCGTGCCCGATTCCCTGCTAGGCGTCATGGCCCTGAACATACTTGCTACTTCTTCGGCTGGCACTACTCCGAGTCGACGTCCATGTCGTCGCTCTTCGCAGCTCGGCTCCTGCGACTCCTAGTCGGCCTGGCGGCAGGGGCCGCCTCCTTTTTGGTCGCCGGCCGTCTTGGCAGCTCCGCCGTCTTGGCAGCGCCGCGGCCTTGCGCCCAATTGGACTTTGCCGGGGGGCGGCGTAGCTTCCTTCTCGTCGTCGGCCGCCTCGGGCT